TTAACAGTCACTTGAATCAGTGATCCAAGAAAGGGTATCGACTATCGTCTAAAAGCACAGTTCATGCAAAACGTGATACAGTCCTCTTGTTTCATCTGTTTGAAGAACAAGAATAAACTCGGGGAAGTAACGAAAACATCTTGGTTGTATCGTGTGTCACTCTATCCCTCCTTTTATCCTTTGTATCTTTATTCGCCTATATTTGTTTTGATCATACCGCTGTATTACTTACCGCAGTTTAGCTATTGAACTCCATGTTCCAGTATGTCCGCATTTCAAAAAGATAGTATTGATAAAAACAGTTATTACTAATTGGTGTTAGATGAAAAGAGTTCATCAGCAGGAAGCTGCGAACTTAGGTTTCGTGCTTCTTGGAACTCATCAGCAAGCCGTATACGCCTGCAACCTATGACGCCAACTGGTATCACCTAGTTGATTCGGACCTGCATCACTCAGTGACGAAGCCAGTGACTTAACAACTAAGCTATTCAGATATTACTACCACTGCGGAAAATACAGCTTTGAACACTTCTAACCTATAAGTACCAACAGTGACTGAAGACTCAGCATTTAACTACCAATCAATAATGATCTGTGTAATACATGGTTATAAACAAGTGATTAATTCATTTTATCTTTTGTCTTATTTGAGAATTGCTAGCTAGCGTTATCGGTACGCCAGTAAGTGTTGATGTTTCAACTCCATAATTAACCCAGTTATTATCACGTCAAATAGTAGTACACTATTCACTAACAGTCATAAAACTGTCTTCAGAACGATGTGTTTTAGTTGCACCTAAACCGGATTCTATTGTTATTCACTGATAGATAAACAACATAAGAATACAATTCATAACAATGAAATGTCCAAGTCTCATGGAACTCTTAGATTTTTGACTGACAACATACTTCCAATTCAACAGCAAGATATACAAACAGATGAAAGGAACTCCAATAGGATCACCGATATCCGGATTAATTGCAGAAGCAGTCATGCAGAGACTGGAAGCCATCATCCTACCTGTGATCAAACCAAAAATTTGGATTCGCTATGTAAATGACACTTTTGTCATCATTAAAAAGGTGATAGAGAAAACACCCACAATTTGATCAACAACGTTTTTAATGACATCAAATTCACAATGGAGAAGGAGTCAAACAACCAACTACCATTCCTAGATGTTCTAGTCAGTAGAACAAATGCCGGAAAGCTGGAAATCCAAGTGTACAGGAAGCTAACACACACTGACCAAATCTTCAACTACATTAGCAACTACCTGACAACACACAAGATCAGTTGCGTGCAGACTCTATTCAAAAGAGCAGATACACACTGAAGCACAACAACTTCACGGAGAAAAGAAGAAAATTACTTGATGTCCACCCCAAAGAAGAACGACTACCCACGAAACTTTACCAGAAGATGCATATCCAGTACATCATCAACTACAAAGTCATCAACAGAAATCAATAAACGCATCATCCTACCATACATGAAGAATATATCAGAAATCACGACAAGATTACCGAGACTACTTGGAATTGGTGCGGCTCATAAACCTACAAATTCCCTCCAAACACTATTATGCAGACCGAAGGATGAGACAACCAAAGAAGACAAACCGAATATCATTTACAAAATCAACTGCAATAACTGTAGTCAACACTACATTGGACAAGATGGTCGCCCTCTTTACCTTCGTCTACATGAACACCAATTGGCTATCAAACGTCACGACATTTCATCACTCATTTCAATGCACGTGGATAATTACGGACATGAATTCAATTTCGACAATGTAGAAATTTTGGACAGAAGAAACACAAAAAATATCAGAGAATTCCTAGAAGCTTGGCATTCAGGTTAGTCAGCAATCAAAAGATGTATAGACATAAAGCCAATCTGTCAACCAATAAGGAGAATGATAAACAGACAGAAAAATCAGAGGTCAAGCAGAGGAACAGCCAACAGGAAAATCTATACAGCCAATGATACAACAATCAAAGGAAACAACCAATCACAGATCACTTTGTCAAGGCAAGCTACTAAATCCCTCACGGAGAGATATTGACAGCTCACTTCATACTCAAGTTAGTGCTGATGACGCCGTCTAGAAAGACGATGAAAGCTTCACGGGTTCGAGCCCTGCTCAACCTACTGAGGTTTGGGCAGCCTAGTAGTATCACTAGCCCTAACAAAACAGGTGCGGCTCGCTGCCTACTGCACGGATGTGTGCAAAGTGACTGAATATTTTTCGTTTCATTCGTTAGTATTCGCTATAAGTTGACATGTTTCTATCGTCCACTGAAGATCATCGTATAGTGAGCAGTCAACCAGTCCTATAGTTGTCTTCCCTCTAGATACGTTTCCATAATTGTACAACTAATAGAATTTTACAGTATACAGTTTATATAAAGACAATTTTAGTCTTTGCACCACTCAGAGAAAGCCATTCTATTCTCTGGAATCAGATCAAATGCTTTAAAACCTAAACGTTATCAATGATGAAACTTAGGTTCATAAGTTGTTTCTGTAGATACAATGATGAAGACTTCCGAAGTTGGATTAAGTCAAAACTGTTCACATTTCAAGCGTAACAGTTTGGATGAATTTTACTAATAAAAAAAAATTCCGTCGTAGAAACCACTCCTTCCACTATTATGGTAAGCTTTTGCATAATAAAATTATATGATTAACATCTTAATAGATTATCAGCTGAGTTGATAAATAAAATAAAGGTGAAACCCCACAAAGAAGTGAATCATTTCAAGTTGCGACAGTTAACAGCAGCATGTGAATAACAGGTGGATAGCAAAAGTGATATTAAGCTACACAATGTGCATGAGAGGAGAGAGAACAAATTTACGAAAGTTAGTAAAACTGTTCAAGACTTCAAAGATGACAAAAAGTGTATTCGTCTACACGTCTACAAACATTGATTCCTATTCTTTTCAGGAACGCAGCTACGCAGCATATATGCACTTACATAGCTCAGACCGATAGTGACTTCATGGACTGGTGCCATGTGCTATTCTATCGACCCTAAGCCTTTTTCTAACCCAATCCTAAACTGACCAACATTTCTCGTTGAGGTAGGCAGTGGTTTGACAAGCGTAACATATGTCCAAGCCATCTCAGTCACATAAGGATCACAAATTGATTCATTACTTGTCTTCCTTGCTTGGTACCCTACGCCTAACCTCGTCATTGCTCACACAATGAGTGGGCCAAATTCGGGTAATGCTAAGAAGATACCGATGTTCAAAAACCTGTAGCTTCTTCATAACTACTTTCAATGACCAAACCTCATAACCATATAATATGACAAAGCGGACTGTAGTGTATTAGAGTCGTCCTTTAGCAGGTAACTGGATACCTCATTGACACCAGAGATGACGTAAGCTGACGAATGCCGAAACGGCCTTTTGTATCCAAGCTGAGAATCTATTGCCAACCCAGCCTCATCGGGCTGATGAAGATCTCTAAATAAGTAAAGTGGTCACTGAATTGCACCACTTTACACACAATAATCCAATTCAACATCATGATATACAGTCACTGTAATCAGAGGAGAAAGGAAAATATTTTGGTGTATCTACTAATTTCATAAGTATGATGCTTACATAGCTCGAAATGAAATAACAACTAGGAAGAAAGTGGGCACTTCGTGATTGCAAATTCACTTTTAATTATAACTTGTTCCATTTACTGGCATATTAATAGTTTGCTAACAGTATCTACATGATTATATTTTGTGCAGTTGTTCTTTAGCTTCATATTAACAACCTTCATGGTATAATATTCCGATATAAATGAATGTCATGTAACCACGCACATGCAACATATAAGCAGACCTGCTTGCCCATTATGTATATATATATATATATATATATATATATATATATATATATATATATATATATATATATATATATATACGAAGTGCACGCATACAGTATTGCCAGTATATGCTAAGCAGACCACTGGCATTTTTCAAGACATTTTTTACTCTCCAATACATATTCTATTAGTAAATAATATACCCATAGAAATGAAGTATAATCGTCCCAAGGTTACAACAGTCAATAGTTGTTTTTCGTATTTCAGTGCTACGAATAAATATAAATATATTCTTGAAGTGTACGTTGCGAATTTCTTCTTAAAATGGATATTGATTATTTAGCTGTTCTCAGATGGAAAAAGTGTTTGAATATAGCAAGAAACAGGGGAATACAGAACATGCCCAAGACTACTATCTTACAACGAGGATATATATGAAGATGAAATTGTGATTCCACTTTACAACAACATCTAAATGAGGGGACAACATTTTTAGCTTTCATAGTAGTAAAATTACGTTGCTATTTACTGTAGTCAGTAGATAACGATGGATATTGCCTAACAGTGGAATCCAGGATGCGTATTTCGTCGAATTAAGAAACTGATCGCAATCGTGAAAGTCGGTGCTATTTGGGTTGACCAATCAACTCTTCGTGTGCAGGTTTGTAGGGATTTATATACTGATTTCAGGTTGGTATTCATCAAGGATTGATATCAGCTGCAGCACCATTCGAAACATGAAAGGACTGAACGGCTGTTTTGTCCAAGTGTGAGACTCCTCAACACTGTGCAACCATGACCCCACCAAGGGCCATTGGATTCCGATCCAGAGGCTCAATGGTAACGTGCTTGCCGTAGAATCTGAAGGTCCTGGGTTTGATCTGTGACGAGGTCATGGCTGCTCATTGCCGAGGACGAAACATCTGTTCAGTGCTCCCAGGTTTAAAATGGTGAATCAGACTTCACATGTGCTTACAATGTGTATGAGTCTGCAAACAATTTAATCAGCACATCAAGGTTCTCTACCAGCTTCTATAAATCAAGATTATATAACATACACCCAGGAAAAGGTGTCAAACGTAAATTCCATGAAGCGAAACAAAACCTGTTCACAAAACCAGAATAATAACCAATGAAGTAGAAATTATAAACACTTTACCTAGAGAATGTGTGTCGTTTCTCAATGATTATCACTCGAGCACCGAGTAAGGCTAATTCAATTGCACATCTCATGCCACATGGTCCACATCCAATAACAAGCACCTAAAAATAACAAAATAACGACAAGAATGAAAGTTAAAAAAATACTCATATGATTACTACCATCAAATGAAAACAATCTGCTTAACCAAAAATCAAAAATTATTGTATTATCAGATGACTATACCTTAATACATAGATATATTATGCTCAGCCACAGAAACTAGTGTACAAGCACAACATACTTATCATTCAACCAACTGTAAAGTATTCAAAACGTTTGTGCAATAAATGGATTTGCACCAAATCAACCTTCGAACTCTCACACAATAAACATCCCTGAGTAATCAAGTTCCTTCACGTTTCATAACACACTGTAGCAATTCGTGATCAGTAAACGCTTAACAGTTACCCAATCTTTCAGTATTATCACCCTCACATTATTGCGTGCAGTTTCTCAAAGTAGAAACACGTATGGCTCATTTAACCACTTCAAAGTAAAACCTCAGGCAGAGTAAAGCAAAAACACCACAAATAACCTTTATACCTCAGCAAAATCAATGACGAACACCCATATAGCTACACTGGCTCAAGTTGCCACACTCCACTGTAGTACAAAAGAAACAGGTGGATAGAAAAAAAGTGATATCAAAGTAGACAAAATTGTGTGAGAGAGTAAACAATGTAAATATAAAGACTTGTGCCAGCATTCAAACTTTAGAAGATGTCAAGGAGTGAATACATCTGCGCCATTGTGACTGATTTCCAGCCATCTCTCCAAGAGTTCTCAACCACTGATTCCTGTCGTCTCGGGAACCCCAACCAGACAGTCTACATCTCCTCATACAACTCACGCCAACAGTAAGAGACTTCATCGACTGGTGACACGTCTTCATCTAACCACCCTGAACCCTCTTCCAACCTAATCCAACATCCCCCAACATGGCACATTGAGGTAGGTGGTGGCTTGGCATGCGCAGTACCTGTACAAACCATCTCAGTCGACTAAGGTTCACAACCTTACCAACTGACTTCACAAAGATTTACCTACTCCCCTACCTGGATATCATCTGGTTGACTTGGAGTATGCAGACAATATTGTCCTACTAGGTGAAGACGCTGATGCAATACAGGGTCATGTGAAGAAGTTAAGCAGAAATCTGAGTATGTTTGTCTGGCATGAGTTTCGCACCTGTGAAACGCAAAGTGATGCTCGTGGGTTGACTGGTGTACAACCACTCTGAGTTTATTGATAGGGAGTGATGTGGTGGAATGTGTCGATCATTTCACTTACTTGGGGAGTTTTGCATCAGCCCGAACAGGTTGGTTGCTGACAAAATATGAGCTGGGACACCACAGAAGGCCCGTTTCTCATTCGCAAACTTGCATAATCTGTGACGCCAACTGCCGAGATATGCGACTACCTGTTGAGGGACTAGTATACTGCGCTGCAGTCTGTTCTGTTCTGTTATACAGCTTTGAGACGAGAAATGGCCGTTGAAAGTAGAAGACATGAAGTGATTGCAGGTGTTTAATCATAGGTGTTTTCGTAGCATTGTTCGCGTTTGGTAGAGTCGCCGTGTGAGCAATGTTGAGGTCAGGCGAAGGACACTAGGCTAGGCAAGACAACCAACTCAATTGGTAAGGTTGTGAACCTTAGTCGACTGAGATGGTTTGTACAGGTACTGCGCATGCCAAGCCACCACCTACCTCAATGTGCCATGTTGGGGGATGTTGGATTAGTTTGGAAGAGGGTTCAGGGTGGTTAGATGAAGACGTGTCACCAGTCGATGAAGTCTCTTACTGTTGGCGTGAGTTGTATGAGGAGATGTAGACTGTCTGGTTGGGGTTCCCGAGACGACAGGAATCAGTGGTTGAGAACTCTTGGAGAGATGGCTGGAAATCAGTCACAATGGCGCAGATGTATTCACTCCTTGACATCTTCTAAAGTTTGAATGCTGGCACAAGTCTTTATATTTACATTGTTTACTCTCTCACACAATTTTGTCTACTTTGATATCACTTTTTTTCTATCCACCTGTTTCTTTTGTACTACAGTGGAGTGTGGCAACTTGAGCCACTACACCTATGTGCGAGGTTCTCATTTGATTTTGTTAGTCAGGCAGTGACCGAGATGTGGTACCGGTACATGTTATCATTGCTTGATCTGAGGAGTTTAAGGGAGCGCTGGTATTTTGATTTGTCTGAAAGACATCTGAAATTGATGGTAGAATTTGAACGATGTGTGATGAACGTCATCAAGACGATATATCCATGCACGCAAATTGTTCATTTAAATCCCAGGAATCACCTGTTACTGATAAAGAGACAAAATCAATGTGGAACCTAGCATACAACTGCATCGGTTCCAGTTGCCATACTTTCCAGTAGCTACGCTGGCTGAAGGATGTGTTCCCTCGACGTCCTCTATGCCAGAAAGGTATGTTGGATAGTTGTAAGGCAGAAGTAGTTACGGCTGTAGTGTCAACTGAGACACTGATAGGGGTGTTTGAGGGCGAAGTCGTTGTATTGGTGGCTTGATGAGGTGTGACAGCTTGAGTGTGTTTCCTTTGGATGACCAGTAGTGTCACGCTAATGCTACTTTCCTGCTAGAAATAGGAGTTAGGAAAGGTCATCCCCCGAACAGCACATGTTTTCCTGCCCCAGAGTCTTCCGGTGCCAAAAGTATGGAATTTCTCCGTTCGGTGTTAAAACAGCCAGATCTCAAAACAATAATCCATAAACGACTGTGTGTGATAGCCCTCAAGCAGATATCCCTTGGGCTTTTTGGTAACATAAATCGTTTTCCCTTTCAAGTTTTTATAAAGAAACAGCCTTCCATGGTGTGTGCAGCCGGAAGTGTTAACCATCCCCATGCTTCCAGTTGCACAAAAGACCCAACGATATTGCATTGTTTCTTTTTGCCCCAGTCTGCTACAACTTATCGGCACTGTCAGTGTTAGCTTTGTGTTTTGCTGCTGCTGACACCTTTTGTGATATATCGATGCGATTTGACAACTTAGACCGTTATACAAGGTTATATGTTGCTGATGTTCATCTGTTCAGTTTTGGCATTGTTTTAGTGTCTATTTTCAAGAAGTAAAGAAAATCGATTTCGATGTAGCAATGTGAGACTAAACAGTATTTGGGTTGCTAGTTTTATCTGAAAACTTACCTCAAATAAGTTCATTAAAAAATGATTTCAAAGCACTAACGATCAAGATAATTGCTGGTTTGATTTATTACCAAATAACGTTCCTTAGTTTCAGGTTTATTCATTCATCTAACAGTTCATACCCAAACTATAGCTGGTCAAATACGTAACTATCTCCTATAAGTACACCTTAAATAAGACGGATCTCTTCCAGAGCAGTAAATAATAAATCCTGGAAACAGGATTTACTTCATCCATCAAAAGCAACATAGGACTAGGCATTACTGAGTAACGGTCCGAGTTGCCACAGCTCATATCAGTATGTCAAGTAAAAAGGCAGTGAAGTGGGAGATGAAGGAAAGAAAATTCACTCAAAAGAAATGTAAAGTACAAAAAGATAGAAAGAAAGAGTGAGAAAATAGTGAGGTTCGTCGGTATAGCGTTAAGATGAGGATAACGTGTGTATACATCTGTGATACTGACATCGGTTCCAAGCCATATCGCCTAGTCTCCAACAACTAGTTTCTCTTGTCCCGCGGACCCCAACCGGCTGGGCTGCATCGCCCCACAGACTAGCCGGTTCGGGTCCGCGGACAAGAGAAAGCAGCTTCTTGTACAATGATTATATATGATGCCCAAGCATAAAAATGAGTAGTAAGTTTTGAACGGTATAAAAATTGTTATCAGCTTTTAACTTGATTTTACAACGGTAAATGTGAGCCCACTTGCTACCAACACTATCTACAATTAACAAAGCACAGAAATAACTTACCACTTTAGGATAAACAACTAATATGAAAGATAGATGCGTTATTAACTTACATTCAAATCTCGACATACTGTTTGATGATGATATTGTTTCATCTTAACACGTTTTTCCAACTTTGAAAACAATGCAGCAGCTTTCCAGTATGACTTAAGGTTTGTATTCAACTCATGGAAAATATTCCAAGATTGCTTGGTTGGTTTTGAAACTAGGCCATCACATAATTCATAAAAATATGCCAATATGCTCTCAAAAGTTGTAGCGGAACAAAACAAATCAAACTTTTCTTCAAGACCACGGTTTAATTCGATAACAGTCATAACTTCATTGCCAACCTAATTATTGATGAGACAAACGAAATGGGAAATAGAGGTTTATGTGAAGATTTTTAGTAACTACATAACTTCTAAACTAAAGAAATATATATCACTCAACAAATAAAATAATTAAAAATATACCTACTATTCATCAGTGAGATTAATCTTGGTTACTTCTGGTGAAAGTAAGTTACCAGATATTTACTAAGGAGAACCATGATGAGATTTGACTGAGACGTAAGTCGCAAATGACAATAAAATAAGCACCCACATAAATAATGTAATATATTATGAAAAGCAACTAGCGTGTCTTAACAGTTTTAACTGACTATCCAGGTAAAAGTGGATGCGTGGAGTTTGAAACTCATCCCATGGAGGAATAGCCACTAGCTAAACTACAAACTGGCCATTAGCAAGTAACGTGTGAGACCAAAGACTGGTGATGGTAAAATTCATTCCAATGCAATGAGAACTACAACTGAATATCTTACCAGAGGAAACTGTTCTGTGCGAATGGACCCGTTGATAAGATCATGTATTTTCTCCAGAAACTTGTTTTCCGACTAGAACAACAAGCCTTGAGGAAAACTAAGCGCTACTGTATCATATTACTCGTCTCGACTATTTTTCAATGTCTAAACACTACAAAAATGTTGATAAAAATGAACCAAGGGAATCAACTACCTGGACTTTCAGAGTCATGAAATGGATTATTAGTGAGTAAACAGGGCAATTTATTGTGTATATCTAGATTTCACGGCCACGGTTTAAAGATATTAAAGAAATTATATGAAAACCCTAAAGTATACAACTTCGTAAAATAGACCTCAGTGGTAGACATATGTCACCGTTTATCACTGAAATTTGGAACATATTATTGGTCTTTATTTCTTACTTTATTTTCTCATATGCCTTTGCTTTACTTCGACATGACCATTTCTGTCAATTTTCATTTTCTGCACTCTTACGAAGTGTGGCGACTTAAACTGATGAGTTTTTGAGTAAGGTCCTGAGACTTCTACTTTTGTGACTACTAAAGAGATATAAAGTGCTTCTAGAGGTTTGTCCTAAGAGTGTAAACGTGAATAGATAAATAAATGTAATCATAAAATAACCCCCCCTCCCCCAAATAAAAACAGTGGCGAAGCTCGTTACGCCAATCAGAATTGTTCGCAATACTCATTCAGTCGTGAAACGTCTAGCAGAACGCTTCTCTCACAGTATATCAAGTTGAAGGTAGTGAGAACGAAAACGCAGTGTCTGGCATTCTAAACTGTGATAACGCTACATTCACTTTATAAGGCGGGAAGCACTTTTAGCAAGAGGCGACTCCACAGTGAAAAGTACTAGAAATGTTAGGTCCAGAAAATTCCTCATTGTAACTCGGTTTACAGTTTCCTGTCATATAGACAAACAAAGTCAATGCAGACCCTCGTATACACGTGTATCGGTTCCAGTTGCCACAGTAATATACAAAGCACAAGTGGGTCATCCTGCGAATTTCCCTCATAAACATAACTATTCAGCATATCACACTGCTGAAGCCCTCTCCGTAATAATCACCTTCATCACCTACCACAGCTCACCGTCCACTATGCTATAGCTCCTCAGTGCAGGCATAGTCAACAGACAAAAAATATTCACATCAAACCTCGCACATAGGTGTAGTGGCTCAAGTTGCCACACTCCACTGTAGTACAAAAGAAACAGGTGGATAGAAAAAAAGTGATATCAAAGTAGACAAAATTGTGTGAGAGAGTAAACAATGTAAATATAAAGACTTGTGCCAGCATTCAAACTTTAGAAGATGTCAAGGAGTGAATACATCTGCGCCATTGTGACTGATTTCCAGCCATCTCTCCAAGAGTTCTCAACCACTGATTCCTGTCGTCTCGGGAACCCCAACCAGACAGTCTACATCTCCTCATACAACTCACGCCAACAGTAAGAGACTTCATCGACTGGTGACACGTCTTCATCTAACCACCCTGAACCCTCTTCCAAACTAATCCAACATCCCCCAACATGGCACATTGAGGTAGGTGGTGGCTTGGCATGCGCAGTACCTGTACAAACCATCTCAGTCGACTAAGGTTCACAACCTTACCAATTGAGTTGGTTGTCTTGCCTAGCCTAGTGTCCTTCGCCTGACCTCAACATTGCTCACACGGCGACTCTACCAAACGCGAACAATGCTACGAAAACACCTATGATTAAACACCTGCAATCACTTCATGTCTTCTACTTTCAACGGCCATTTCTCGTCTCAAAGCTGTATAACAGAACAGAACAGACTGCAGCGCAGTATACTAGTCCCTCAACAGGTAGTCGCATATCTCGGCAGTTGGCGTCACAGATGATGCAAGTTTGCGAATGAGAAACGGGCCTTCTGTGGTGTCCCAGCTCATATTTTGTCAGCAACCAACCTGTTCGGGCTGATGCAAAACTCTCCAAGTAAGTGAAATGATCGACACATTCCACCACATCACTCCCTATCAATAAACTCAGAGTGGTTGTACACCAGTCAACCCACGAGCATCATTTTGCGTTTCACAGGTGCGAAACTCATGCCAGACAAACATACTCAGATTTCTGCTTAACTTCTTCACATGACCCTGTATTGCATCAGCGTCTTCACCTAGTAGGACAATATTGTCTGCATACTCCAAGTCAACCAGATGATATCCAGGTAGGGGAGTAGGTAACTCCTTGTGAAGTCAGAAGTACAAAAGGTGGTGTTCATTGCTACATGTATAAAGAAATTAAATAGGAACAGTGACAGAGGGTATCCCTGGTGGACACCACTAGTTGTCGTCAATTCACATGACAAATCTGCATTAGCCCTTACAGGGTTGCGTGAATTCGAGTAGATAGCTTTGATTAGCGTTATGTAGTTTCTCGGTATTCCCTTCACAACCGCACACCGCCACGACACCCAATGGTTGACAGATTTAAATGCCACCTTCAGGTCAAGAAATATAGCAGGTGTTGGCTGCCGGTAGGTATACGTGTGTTTCAGAAGCTGTCGGAGGGTGAAAATATGATCGATGCAGCCTCGTTCAGCTCTGTGTGAAACGCAGATGGTTTTTTCGAGACCCAGTGAGGCGTCAGATGACTATAGACCCTAGGATATTCCACACAATAGTAGTCAAACTAATCCACTATGGTTTTCATAAGGAGATTTCTCCTCCTTACAAATTGGGATGAACAGTGTCGTACACTAGTCTGACGACGTTACTTCTGATTTCCATACACTAGCTAGTACCTCCGTCACTTTAAATAGCAATTTGCTACCCCCGTCCTGTCAAGTCTAGCTGCTTTGTATCGTCTCACGTTTGATACAGCCTTCTCAACGTCAAAGAGAGTTGGAGGACCGACATTCACGTCCCATTCAGGTTTAGCCTGGATTTTGAGAAACCAGCTTTTAACCACGCTTCTACATGAAGCAGAATATCACGCCAGGTCTCCCAGATGCATTGCTGTGACATTGAGATAAATGACGTTCTAATTTCTCAATCGAGCAAAGACATGCTTCACTATTGCCAGTTTACTGAGACCACTAATCTGTAGAAGTACAGGGATCCGTACCAATGCGTGACAGGAATCGAAACAGGTACTCTACAAACACGGGCAATCCTCCACTGGTCCTATCTAACGATGGCTTATAGCAATATAATCTATTTGTGTCAATCACTGGTTAGAAGTCAGCGGATGCCATGCTAGACTGTCTATTTATGCTTGAAGTTAGTGCTGACCAGAAGCAAGTGACCATCAGAATAAAATCGCAGCCAATCACCGTCGTCGGTTTGTTAGCACGGGATTCCTGAAACACCTTAGGGTACATTTCCTATTAGCTCAGCTCACCTTTCTTTTTGACCGTTATCTTTAATCACCTGCCATTTTCAGAAGAATTTAGTATAGCTGTGAATGTGATTGCACACAACCACACAATATGGTGGGACAGGGTTACAGTCCTGAAGGCTAATCTACTTAAGTGCGGAAAGAGTTTGATCACTGAATCCCTGTTCATCAATTCAAATCCTAACTCGTATAATCAAAATAATGCAACGCCAACTCCGGATGTGTTAGAAATTTTACTGTCAAATCAAAGGGTGAGAAACAACAGGACTATAAGAACCAGGTCAGAAAGTTTTGTGATTACCTTGATATGAGTATGGGCACTAGATTCTGGTCGAAACGTCATTTAGTAAGTAATACGGTATCGCTGTATGACATATCATATAGACTTATTTACTATGGATTCACATTCTATCAGTTCTCAAATTCTATGCTTACATTAATCTGAACGAATAAAATAAGCATTTTGCGACAACTAATGACCGTACACTTTTCTTCTCATTTTCCCCCATTTGTGAGAATCTAAATGAGAAAGTAATGGTATGATATATAATTTCAAGACCCTCAACAGTGATTAAATCTTCTGGTGTTGTCATAAAAAGAACATATATCAGAAATCGTGTAAAATTAGTAATATAATAGCTATTCGATGTTAAAAATCGATCTATTTAGAAAAAATAATTTACTTGACCAAATAAAAGCCAACGACTACTAGGTCATTTACACCGATCAAAGCAGCTGACAAGACTTATTTAAGATATCAAAGCAAAAAGGATTAGGTTTAGGTAGATTTAAAGAGGCAGAAAACCTATTGCTATACACACCGATGTAGTTGTATAATATGACGTGAGAGAGCAAAAACCTGATTAGCTAATGTGGTTAGGTAAAGGTATGTGTCAAACAAGTCAGGGTGCATCAAATACGGTAGGAATGATTCATTACTATGTTCTGATGTCTGAAAAATTCTATTGTCCCTAAAACCAAGGAGTGAGGAGGAATAAGATGATAAAAGCGTAGTTTGCATAAGTTTGACAAAGTTCGGATGATTTACCGAATAAGTAGCGTCTGAAACATTATTTAGGAAACAATACATTCGAATACTTTAGTCAAAATATTTGGTACCCACATCATTAGTAAAGCGAATAATATATAGATGAACACAGAAATATGTTTTACTTGCTCGAAATCCGCCAATGCAAATACTTGGTGGCAGCACGGAAACATACTTTTAATGTATCAGTAAGAATTCTTCAAAATGAGTAAGAGTTTCTTCCAGTGAATGCCAATTTTACATACTTGGTAAAACTTAATAAAAGATGCAGTAACTAAACTGAACTGGACAGAGACATGAATTAGAAAGGTTGCTCACCTAGTTTCAGCCAAGGAGGTACTGAACAAATCTAGATAATCATGAATTCTCGGAAAGAAAAGTAATGTAGCTAAGATCAAGCTACTTTTCGGTGTGAAAGACATAATCCATCTTACAATCAGACTTCAGCGATACACCATCACTGATGTAACATGCAGTTTGTACACAAAATCAGACTTAGAATATCCTCAGTTACATTAACGAACAGTGAAACAGGTTCACTATTCTCTGTATTGAGTAATGATTATTGGCTGATCACAATGGTGTCCAGGTTACTCATTATTGGTTTACATCCAAAGAAACCATATTACAAGACCATGTAAGAGGATGTAACTAACGCATCGAACTACGTAGGACATAATGTGTTTCACTGCAGGCACATAAGTTATTGGTAGCAATGGCAAAACTGTGTAAGACGAAATAATCCCATCAGAAAAGAAATTTAAGATTCCAGACTGCAGACCTGTTAATTTGTGCGCACAATGAAAACGTTTTAAAAGGTGGATGACAACAGTTACACACTCGTGATTAACAGTGAGTGTACCATATGGTATGCGCAGTTCACTTCTGTTGTGAAGTAACCACAGGTTCATGAGAACAAATACACTGCTGCTGTTTAGTTGCAATTTCCAAATTCTACTTGCACTTAAAAAATATATTGCTTGGGAATGACGCACACAAAAAACTGTGATCGAGTTGGTATCCGGGATGACTAAGAGTTCCTAACCTGTAAACTTAACACATTCTGTTGAGTATTCAACAAACATCGTGTCGGTGCAGCAATAAGTCGTATTTATTCACCCAATGAAGTTATCTCTTGATATTCGGATGTGTCTAACATTTGAGTGCGTTTTTAGGATCTCGTCAGTCGTCTTTGTATAAACTGCAGCGATTTTTATGTTTATATGACTATTATCAATCTACTTAGGTGAACTTTGTAAAATACCTGCAGGCCAAAGAATAAAAAAATAGTGGTTACAATTTATGATATCAATACGAGGGTTTAAAGGAGCACGTTTTCGCTATTTATGGTAGCAAATACTACTGTATAATCCTATTACAGATAAATTGCAATATTTTGAAATAACAAGCTTAAAACGTGTTATCAAAGCGTTACACTTTCCAAGTAACTACTCAGCTTCCGTGAATTTCCTTTGCTACTGTTATATTACCAATACGCTGACATGAAACTTTAGAGCAATAAAAGGTTAGTTCTGAGGTTTTAGCGTTCATTACATCAAACTCCGCTGCTAACTGACTAATGGCTAGTGAGTCGGAACTACTAAAACCACCTGCCCAAGGTGATTTATGTCATGAAATGCTACCATACTCTCTTAAAGCTTATCCGGAAAAGTCGGAAATTAGATCTACTACAATTAGAAACATGGTAGGTTCTCATCATCAATAAGTGGAGTTTTTCAATATCTTCAACGTCTGTGCAGTATACAAACCTACAGTTTAACCTTCATACTTGAAACCCAGGTGGTTTCCAGCGAATTACTGGTTTCGAACAAGTTTCATTCGATTTCCAGCTTGTCAGATTATATTAACTTGGACAGCTGCAATAACGAATAATGACTTCAAGTCATTCCAAAGATTTCAGGAGTGATTAAATACGGGTCTGTCATTTATTCCACATCACCACTAATTTGAAACCCATTTAACAAGCTAGTATCAATTTGTTTATCTTTGTGAAGTAATTTCTAAGTCTTGCGACAGGATTCAAGGTCTTTGGCGAATTCTGATATAGTAAACCTAGTGAAGACCACTGATAGCATCCACTGAATTTCAAGCCGAAAAAATATGGAAGTCGTTCATTGGAAACCTTCCGAAAGATTTAGTACCGATCTGAAAACATGAAGTACGCCTCGTTTGAATACACGCGCTAGAAAATTCTGAGTCTTTCCTACAGAAGAAAACTAATCCTGAGAGCCAACCAAATCGACTTATAGGAAGAATGGCGAGAAATTATTATCAATTTCAGCAAGAGAATAACTAACAAATCAAGTGCCATAAACGAACAAAACTTGCCACCCAACTCATAAAAGAAAATTCATACTACGATTTGATTTGTAACCTTGAGATAACAGTTGAGTGACACAGTTAAAACCAAGAACCTCATTTCAATCCGCAACGTCGTGTTACGGAACTAGCGAACGGCGATGGAGTGTGTTTAATGTCACTTTCACTGAAAAGCATTTTCTGCTTGAAATGGTTACAGTTCTTGCCTCCGTTCTGACAAACCTGAGAGGACAAAGAAAACTAATGCTGTTACCAAAGGTCTGTAACGTGACAAGCACCTTCCTGAACGCAGCCCATCCGTTGGCTTCAAAGTTTCTTTGAAAAGGATCACGCGAAAGGTCTGTAACAAAGGAATATTCTGTCTAACAGTATGGTGCAGTTAAGCACATGTATCACCTACCTCAACAGCTTCCTCGTACTTCGTGACACCTGGGGCGATGTAGCAGGTTTGCCTAGGATGGCTCCTGAAAATGTACACCTTACACCCACAAGTCGTAAGAAAAGCAGTCACCTGTTGATTCCAATCAGATTGACGACATGGACAGCTTTAAAAGACCCTAAACCTACACACTTCACACCCAAGTCTCATAAACAAAGAATTGGTGCCCTCGCCAGCATGGTTTTGGAGAGTAGGAAAAACCAGAAGCAATATCCATACCCGCTAAGGTCCAATGACCTTAGGAATATCTGAGACAAGAAGTGCCAACTAAATGTGATCATAAGGCTAAAAATCGCACTGCAGTTCACGATTGTTCTATAATCCTAACACACTGCCCCGAGGTTCTATGCAGTTATTATTAAATGAGTGAAGGAAAGCCACATGATGACACCTGATATCAGCGAAATCAATTTCAGTCGACCTAACAAACGTATCACATAGTGGAGCAGTATTGTTTACTGGATGACGTTTCAGACATAAGATACTGTCCATAGTCATGCCGAGACAACCAGGCAACTTTGAGACATGCTTCATGCAGTTTTAACTTCCCCGCCTTTCTCATGATATAGGCAGTGGGACTTTCCATTCCTATTGATTTGACAACTAAAGACTCGGTTATCAGTCTCCCCCTCCACCCCACCATGTTAGCTTTAAGGGTTCTCACCTTGTCCCACCCTACTGTGCGGTTGTGTGCAGCTGTATGTTTGTCTATGACCGAGCCTTTTTCTAAATTCTCCGTTTCATTAGTATCTACTAACGCCTATCTAGGCAGGTGTTCGTGCTCGGATAGCCTAAGCGATCGACCCCAGTCGACTACTTTAACCTGTGTGTGTGAACTCGAAGTCGTTGGAAGAGATTTAGTAAACCAACGCTTATTTCTAACAGTTTGTAGATCTGAACGTCTTTCTAGGCCAACCTTAATGAGAATCCTACGTTGTATCTCTTCGTATGGCATTATCGAGGAGGTTATGAATTTCCTCTTCATATTGTTGCTGCCGTTAGTAACATTGTCATTGTCACTATCAGCACGTTTGCTACTAATTTGGGTGAAATTTTCCAGACTATTTTTGAGGACTTTGTCAGTTAATAAGAAAGGTAACTGTTGATGAGCAAGGCTTCCTCAAGATATATCTGACTCCTTGTTTTAGAACTTGTTTTTCTAGTGAATGTTTTGACCCCTTTGCACTGACACTTCATCGAGACAAATCTAACTGATATCATATGAGATTATCTGAAGTCTAAATAACTATTTGAATAACAATAATAATGATAATAACGATTTATTCCTTAAGTTATAGGTGCATATCATTTTTGCGGGTACGGTTATAACATTTTGTGGTGAAAAATCCTTGGTGATGTTTTTTACGATCTCCTTTTCATCCCAGGTAGTAGAGATCCCTAATCCGAAAGAAAGAAAATTCTGCGTCATATACAAATACTGCACTTTAAGTTAAATGTTGAGTTTTTGTTGTTTTTAGGCTCTGACAGAAATGAAAGTCACGTTTAATGAATATGTAAAAGCATCATTCAAGAAAAAGGGGGGAGCGGCTAAGCAAGTTCATGCTAAAGAAAAGATAATGCTGGCCGAATTACTCAGGTGTTTTCATTTGAAATTTCTTATATATAGAAGAAAGTACCACGGCAGGTTCTATGCACCTGTAAAAAAATGCGTCTATAGATCAACTGAAATGTCAAGGTACACTGCACATGCAATAATAAATAGTATTGATAACAGCTCATCCCCTCCTAGGTGAAAAGTTCTATTTTTGTTTGTTCATGCTATGTCCACCGTAGCCGCCACAATGCCCTTCACCACCGTTAGTAGCCAGGTGAATAATGGTGAAACTCCACTTAGATAAGGTTGTAGGTATTTCCCTGCATTTTTGCATGATGTTTACGGGTGCAGTGGAAAAAACGGTACCAGTCAACCATCCTAGGTAAAACATTGCAGTAAATGGATGACTCCTTGTGACACTACATGAATAAGCATCAGGAGGCTTCGTGAAAGGATCTCCATGTGATGTCACCAGGACGTTCATCATAGGTTGCTAGACTGAGGAGAAGTTGCTTGAAGACCGATACAGTGACATTTAAGAATAGATTTGATGAAATATTGTAGTTTCAATCTAATTTCAGGTTTCCAATATTCTATTTACGACGAGAACGGAAAACCTCAAAGCGGGTGACCGAGGCACAAAGAAGTTATTTACATGTATATTTCAAGTCATTTACATGGTATGTCACCCCGACTATTATGTGCATATTTTTACGTTCCATGTATACATTCTGGTTGAAAATATGTTATTTACTACATTTTCACAATGCTTTTGTAGGTTATACCTGAGGATGTCTTCATTAGTGACGGTAATAAGTGAGGGGTATAGTTGGACAAATCAACCACCGAGGTAGTCTTAATTGTTGTGATTTTGTCGACGAAATGTTGCGGGAGGAGTGTGTGGATTTACCGGTCAGGGTGTGCCGTCTCATATATTTAAGGGGCCTATTATGCTGTGCATGTCTTCGATAGGCACTAGTGTCTGAACCCTCATCTTGTTTCCGTTCTGCTCCTCAATTCAACACCGCTAGGCCGGCTGCACTATTTTTTGATTCAAAAGCAAGCTGGATTGCTTTGACTTTCGAGTTTATATATGTAAAGAAACTATGTATGTGCTCCAGTTCCGTCTGTATGTCAAAAGCCCACTTTTAGAGCTAAGTATTTCCTCTGCCGTTCATTCCCAGTTTTCCATAAATATGGATATTGATGACCATACGTCAACTCCTCCCATTTGTTTGTACATTTATTCTGAAACTTGAAGACTGTAGAACCCAGACATACCATACTCTTAACACGACACGGTCATAACTGAGTTCATTTCTACCCACGTAAATCAAATACTCGCTCATTAGCTAACGATATCAGAACTGACCATTTTTTTCACTCTCACTTAAATATATGTCACCTATTCTTTGCTTCAAGTCATTTGACCTAGCTAGCCTCGGTTCGGAGCGGTTTCTAGCGAGGTTTAGTACCTTCGCTCGATATTTAGTTACATCATAAATAGGAGTGTCTCTAAAGCCTACTATAAATCCAGTGAAATAGCCTGGTTTGTATATTCTAATGATAATACCAATATTAATAATGGCACCCCTACTTATGTGTAAGGCTACGAAAAGAGGAGAGTGTGTAGGGTGTGAAAGGGCTTGTTGTGTGATGGGAGATTTGTCTCCATCATCACCACTTTTGTGCTCCAGATTTTAGTTTATTTGCTTGTCGCAGCTGTTGAAGAGTTCCCACTGATCAGACCGGTGAGGTCAGGAACTCAACTGAGAGTAATCAAGCCTCCTCCGATCTGCATCTCACTGTAATAAATGAGGAATTCTTGGTGGGCAACGAAGCGATATTCCTCCCATTAGATTGCAGCAACCATATATTTATTGGGTTCTAGTATTTCTGGTAAAAAGGGTAGATTCACCCTTCCATGCCGCACCACTGATATATAAAAAGCGTCCATGAAACAGACTTATACGTTAGTGGAAAGCTGAGATAGACCAGCTATAGTGAAATGTGCAGGTGGCACGTAGGTATTAGTGTGGGGGTGTATTAAGAGAAAAAAGATTTCCTGCTAGAAGCTATGTGTTAATAGTAAGACAAAAGGGAGAAAAATAGTGACACAAGAATCTGATATATCAGTAATAAACAATGGAGCCAAGTGCAACCATTTATGCCTTGGGATAAAACAGATGAATAACGATTTACACTGAGTGGTATCCGCATAATAGACAAACATAAAATAGAGGGCGTCCAAAGGTAATTCACAGCTAGATTGTTAAGACACGATTGCGAACAGGACTACAGCTCCAGATGCAGAACACTAAGTCTAGAAACACTTTGGATGAGACGGCTCAAAATTAACCTGACACTATTTTTTAATGTGTTACATAAACACACTTTTACAGACAGTGGTGAGTTTCATTTCGAACACAAAAGTTGTTGCGATCTACACAACCACGCCCATAGCGTCAAAATGAAGTCATTCAAGTCCTGCTCGCGCGCAAACTTCTTAGCCGTCAAATTCTCTCAGTTGTGGAACAGATTTCCAGCTAAAGTGAAGGCCTCCAAATCAACCTCTGAATTTGGTCGGTTACTGGTTGACTTCTTATCATCTGGCGACTTCTACGGCTTATCGAATACACCAACAGTCTCTTTCACGACACTTCGTATACTCGGCTCTCTTAGTGTATAATGAGAGCCACCACATATACACTGGCCTTTCAACGAAGCGTTGAGGAGACTTCCATAAGTTACCACCTCAAACTAACGGCACATTGTGCCCCACCCAACGCGGTAATCAAAAACAGAAATCCTACACCGCATGACAGCATGAAATTTATATTTTCAAATACTCTATAGAAAAATGATGTACAATGAGAGCCATAGCAAGGGAAGTTACGTAGGGAGGAACATGAACATAGAAAACACCCTCCTTGTTGAAATTCTTGCTTTCTCCGCCTGCTGCTTTGTCTGTTTTTTTCTCGTTGTAGAAAAATAATTCAGTTCTAAAAGTTGGCCTGGTCGCCATCGAGAATTAATTACTTAAGGA